GGCCTAATCCACATTTCTTAAGTAAATACAATAATATTTACAAAGAAATATATAGTACTAAACTATAACTATATATATAAAAAAAAAAAAAAAAAAAAAATACAAATAAACTTAATACTACCTATAATATAACAATTATGTCTACCTTTTCTTCACTTCTATTCCACGTAACGAACATAAATCTATGTTGAATATTGATAATATATCTATATTGATTATCTAAAAAAATATATTTAAAATTTTAAAGCATATTATCTATCATTCATTTTTTCAATATAATATATACGCAGATATTCAAAACCGTGTTACAAGAAATGAGTCAGAACATCTCCACGTTTTTTGGCACACTATTGAACAATTCAAATTGTAATATATTTACATTAAAATTAAATATAAATAACATGTAGTTGTTAAACTAACTATTAAATAAATTTAAAAATTATAAAAAAATTAAAAAGAAAAAATAATAGAACTTCTACGTTAGTACATAATAGTAAATTGAATATACCTATACAAATCAAATTAATCTAAAAGTTACAGTTTATTAATAAAATACAAATACGTTGCTAAGGAAACTTAGTAGATACTTCTTATTATTTTAAAAAGTATTATATAAATAGTTTTGCCATCGATATTTTGAATATTATCACAAGGTTCCTAATTTATTGGTTAAAGTATTTGTAAATGCTCTCAATTTGTATTACTATTTATAAATATACGATATATATATATATAGGTTATATGTATGTCCATGTGCATGAATTTGTCTTGTAGTAAAAAAAATATTTGACATTAGCATTAATACATATAATATTAACGATGTAACTTTGAAGACCAATATCGATGAATTAAAATAAAAATTATATTAAATATATAAAGATAAATATTTATGAAGTTAGTTTTTACAAATAACAGTGTATAATAAAATAAACTGAAACTGATTCGATCGATTTTATAACGGAGAGACAGCCGAATTAAAAATCAGCAGAGATCTTAAACGGGCAGTAAAAACTAAAAACAATAATAATAATGATAAGATCAACTGTTGAGAATTACGTAGATAGTATGAATAAACGCCAAGTCTGCGATGTAGAAAAATGTCATTTCTACGAAGAAAATTTGTTTGAAAACGTTGTGTTACCGCCCCTAAAATATTCCCACTTTAAGCATGTGTTTACTTCAAGGGCGCCCGTGTTGGGCCAATGCGGTCGTTTCCCCCTTGGGATTTATATAATTATTGTAATTTAATATTATATTAATAATTGATAATTGTTATTATAATTTAAACATATATTAGGCTTTTGTATAATGACATAATGATGATTATTTTTTAGTCAGGTATATTATAATGGATGTCCTAGAGTTATATTCGTATATTAAAATAACTTAATAAAATACTATTTTAGTCTTTGAATTTTAATCTTGCCTCGAGTGGGATTTCATTCTGTGAGCGTGCTTGGCTTTCTTCGTTTATTGGAAAATACGCTACTAGTGAATAGTATGTGTACAACTGTTACTGTTACTGTTTAAGTATGTAAAATGTAAGCATTTCGACCAAAAGTAAGTACGATTGCTTCATATCATTATTAAAAAAAACTTTAAACTTACCGTACACAACCTGACATTAGGTTTATAGGTAAATGCATTATATTATTTTTATTGTATTTTAGAGTTGATATTTATTCGCATCAATTAATACAATTGTGATAATTTTTATTCGTACCTACATAATATTTTGAATATAACAATTGGTGCCCAGTAATTTTATTATATCGCGTTAAAATGTTGATTAAAAATTAGTTTACGATAATCATATTTATTACATCCTAATAAAAATGTTTATCATAAACTACGACAGCAGGTAATTGAATAAGATATGTATAATTAAAGAAAAATAAAATAGTATTTGTATAGAATTTTTATACGTAGTACAATTATAAAATGTAAATATAGCCAATTTAGGTATATTAATATACATTAAATTGCAGTTGAATAAATTCCTTTTATGGTTTTTTTTTTATATTTATTATAATGCTATTAAAGTTTTTACTTAAATCATCATCAAAACTAAAACAAGTGCTGGAACAACTTAATACATATAGACATACAGTACCTACCGTTTTGTGTTATATTGTAAAATAGTTGGAATTAAAACTGATAAATAAAATACAAATATTAAAACAAATAATATGCTACCATCTAGCGGATAATTTGAGACTCCTGGCCCAACTTTTTTATTTTAGGGTTATTGATTACACCAGCGGTTCCCAAACTGTGCTCCGCGGAGCCCTTGGGGCTCCGCAATGGTTTCTCAAGGGCTCCGTTCATTATTACACAAAAATGTAATAATTTTAAAATTGTTTAAATTATTTAAAACGAATATATATATGAACGTTAAATATTTCTTGGGGCTCCACGAGAAATTTCTCCATAAAAAAAAGGCTCCGAGGTTGAAAAAGTTTGGGAACCGCTGGATTACACAATCAGTTATTAACATATCGTTACAATTTATCATGATTTATTATAAACATTGTCTACATAGAAATTATGTAAATTGTTTAAACTGTTTTCGCATCTCCCACAATGCTGTTAGATTTTTTGAGCGCTTTTAATGTTTAATTTTTACATTATACCTATATCGTGATAGTTTAAGTCGAATATATTATTTAAGTCTCATTCACCTATGTTGCACTATTCGGAAAACAACATACTCAATTGTACCTTTTTAATTAATAATTAATACTGGCTAAAAGGGATTTAAAAAATATAATTGAAAAATGGAATATTAATTGGTCTGTCTGTCGTGCTAATAATAAAATATGTAGATATTGCTATGTGAAAATTAATTTGATTGTCAATTAATATTTATTCTTTTTTGTTATAAAATATTTTTATCATACTATCTATAAACAATGTTTACAATAAACATAAGTGATGTATTTATTTATTTTTTTTTTTGATTAATTAATTTATTAATACAAAATAATTAATGTAGTATGATAAAATATTAAAAAAATCGACATTTATTTTTATATTCACACTGCTTAAAATTAAAGAGCATCTTTTAGCCATTGATCATATTAATAAGTCAATTTTATTTTTAGAAATTGTTTTATTATTTTTTACAAAGTCAAAAATGAATAGAAAATTCAAAATACTACAAATTCCTGGATATGGTGTATAACAAGCTATTTTATTAGAGGAATATTACTATTTATTTATCTATATCCTAAAAAGTATTATATACATATATATACAGTGGTCGCCGCTTATTATAATCACGGTTAATGTTATCAATCGTTTATTGTTATCGAAAAGTGTAAGTACGGGCCGGATTTATACTTATATGTGTAAATTATGTCGGTTTTTGTAATCAATACGCCGCATAATATTATTAGTTTGAGTTCATAAAATTATAATTTTGTAACATACAATCAAATTTTTCGTCGAATGTCTTATAATAAAGATAAAAATTGTAATAAAGATATAAATGTCTATACAGTATACACATTGATATCACATTTATATCTACCTTTCATTCGTATAGCAATAAGACAGTACAAATACGAACATTTTATCAATGAAATTTTAACGGTAAAAAAAAACATACATCGATAAAAAAATATTGTTCAAGTTAGTGGTGTACATACATATTATACATATTTATTTATTTACATTTAATTTTTTTTTTTTAATTTTAAATTTTCAATTAATACCTACATATGTACTTTATTTATAAATAAATAATAATAAATAAAAAAATTATATTTTTATTAACTATGTATTTAACGTAAATTTTATTATTTTTTATCATTTTTTTAACTTTCGTTTAATGTTATCAATCGGATTATGTTATCAATTATGTCCCGTACCAAAGTGATTACATTAAGCGGCGACCACTATATATATATACAGCAATATATAATATATTCATGTTGTTATTTTTTACAGTATTATTATAATTTCTTGTAATATAAGTATACGATTTTTAGTATAAAGGTGAGTCATATAAGTATACGTAACGAGACTGAACTTTATAATAACATTCATAGCACTTAAGTATATTAAATAAATATAAAATATTTTATTAAATAATTTAGTATTGTTAATTTTTATTTTTGGATTGTTCTATAGTAAAATTATAATTTTTAACTTAAAAATGAAGTAGGTATGAAATAAAACATTTTTATATTAATGTATTATTTTAAAAACTATAAGCCAATATTAAAAATTAAGTATTTTTAATCGTGTTATAAATACCAAGTGTCATAGGACGACAGATATTCTTATTCGAACTTAATATTTTTATTTTTTATGTAATTGAGTAATTTACATATATCAATATCTATTCTCTCAAATATGCTAGTCTGTAGCTTTACGATTTTCTATAATTATTTTATTGAATCTATTCGGTCATATTTTATCATCTTGTTTGACTTTGACTGTCAATAAATCGAAACAACAAAAAATAAGCAAATGCATTAGTATTACATATATACTTGTGTTTTATTTATCAGCTTAGTGTCTAGATATCTTTCTATTTTTATCGTATCCGCTGAAATCCACAAATTCCCATGACACTTAAAAGCATGATCTATGATTTCGTGGTAGTTTCAAAGTATAATATTATTTATTGTGGTTTAATGATGATAATAATTTTGATATTGAGATCTTTTGTTAAATCTTAAGCCAATGGCGTACCGCAGGCGAGTAAATTACCCGTCGGACGTTTAAATTAAGCATTATTTCCGCTCTTACAAGCGAAGGTGAAAGGGTTTTTCGACAAGTTATTATTAAACGGTCGACCTTTGGGAATGTACTGTAAACAGTAAACACGATGTGGGCCAAGGACCGTGACCTGTGAATAGTGTATTGTGTATACACTTTGTCACTTTCCGATACCTTCAGACCAAGACTTCCAACGGTTTTTAAGCGTAGAATTCAAACTTATCATTTCACACGTTGAAGATTAACGCGACAAAGGACTACTACTCTCTCTCTTAGTCGCTTTGCATGCACGAACTGTGTCTCTCTCAAGCCACGGTGTACCGATCGAGATTCCCAGATATTTTTCATTGCTTTATCGGCATCACTGACGGGCGCTGTGATAACCGGGACAGCTGATAAATTGTTATTGTTCGAGAACGTTCGCATTTTATTAATAAGAAAAAAAGAAAAAATAGAGTAAGATATTCCAATTCTCGTTACTTAGTGTTAGTATTGTTTTGCAATATTTCCTTTCTACCCTATTGAAGTAGTCATGTCAATCAAACAGATGCGTTTTTAAGCAGTTGATAATTAGTTATTTAGTTATGTTCAGTTATTGTTTTGTAAGCCACCAGTAAGACTACATTCGAATTTCGTCGTCTGCTGCATTGTTTCACGGTTTCAAATCTACTCGTAAGGTTTGATAGATTCAATACATTCCATTAATAATTATCAGACGATAGTAAAGAATTTTTATTTCCGCTCTAAATTTAATTGTATTTTAACCATGCCCTACGACTTCTCGTTTTTTTTCTACAATGTTGGTGATCAACTTGCATAGGTTGTGAACAATTTGATCGTTCTCAATATTATGAACCAAACCGAGCGTAATCTAATTCCGATCAAGTTCAAGCACAAAGAGGAACGGGTCCCAGAATCTCTGTTCTGCCTGTGTCTGAAGTATGTGGCACGGAACTTGGACACACTGTGTAAGGAAATGCCTGATGGTTATATACTGCATGATGGATTAGCTCTTCCGAGTGAGATATGTGAACCGTTCATCGAGACTTATCAGAACAATGGTGGGGAGATTTTTGACAGATTTGCTCATCTTTTCAAAGATGTTACTAGGACGAACCTGAGATCAGTGCACATAAGTAATTCGAGTATTACAGATAATGGCCTTGAGTACCTGTTGTGTCACGAACTAAATGAACTATCACTCATTAATTGTCAGAATCTCACGATCAAGTCATACGTGAATATATTTCAACATGCTGCTAACCTTCGTTCGTTGACCATTGGTCCAAATGTACAAATAACTCCTTTTAACAAGCCGTCAGACATTGAACTAATTCCGGAAAAACTCCTTCCCTCAACAATCTACAAGGAGGCGCCTAATCTTAAACATTTTGTATTGCGAGCAATCTCAGAAACGCCGTTTTCCGTTGATAATGTATACCTGGAAGCCATGGTTAACAAGTTTATACATCTGAGAGTCTTAGACCTATCATACTGCTTAGGTATTGGCAATCTGCAGTGTGTGTGTAGGCTCACTAGCTTGCATACTTTGATATTGTTCGATGTGCCTCATTTGCAAAATAATGACGCAATACTTAGTGTTTGTGCATTACGTACATTGGTGTAAGTAACATCTATATTATAATTTAAAAAAAAAGTAAATTTCATTATATTTTTTATAAGTGTAAAATGGTGTTTCCAGTGTTTTAGATGTTTCACAAACTGAGACTTTCCCAGATCAAGGTGTTTACAATGATGAAAACAGAGTTTTATCATTACTTATGCATTGTCTACCAAATCTTATGTCTTTAGATATATCTGGCACAAATTTGGCTGGAAAAGGTAAGTTAAGTATTTATTCTTTTTTTATGTAATATATTTATTATATATGTGTCATTATAGGTACTGCAGAACATTCTATGTGCGAGTCATTGAGTGGCAAGAAGTCAGATATTCCTGGTTTAGAGAGTCGAGTAGACAATCCTTTAGAATTTTTAGGTTTATATCATACTCAGCACAATGCTTGCAGGCGGCATGATATTCCTGCAAAAATTGTAATATATTTATAATAAATACATTTGTTAAATTTTTATCAAATAAATGTGTTAATGTTTTTTAAAAATTTTTATATAGATCAGTGGTGATGCTAGCGAAGAACAGATCTTTAATGCTGCTGCTTCATGTATGGACAAACCAAAACTACTTCAAAACATTTTAAATGATCTTTACCACTTGTTGAGGTATGACCAGTGTACACAAATTGATCGAGCTCTTGACATAGTATTAGAAGCTCTTACCAGATACGTCAAAGAAAAACTAATCCAAATTTCTGGGAGGTTAATATTCAATATTCATTCATTTAAATTTTATAAAGAGTATATTTTTAATTATCTAATCATTTTTTAGTGCAACTCTATTTTATATTGTGAAAAATAAAGATCGACCATTACTATTAAACGATATAACAGTTAAACGACGAATTATTACAACACTATTAACTGGAATGGATTACCATAACTATGATGAAACAATGATGCGGAATGGATGTTTGACTTTATGTCAATTGAGAATACCTCAAGATGTGGTAAATTCAATTTGTTTATTATAAAATTATTATAAACCAAAGAAGTCGATCTGTTATATAATAGGTTTCTTAAAATTATAAATTATAAATCATTATATTCAAAAATGGTTCTGTGCAGAAATTAGTGTCAGAAAATATTTTCAAGAATAGTTTTATCATTATTAATGATTCATTTTTTATTTTTTATACCAATAGTATATTGAACTAAAAAACTTTAATCCCATAAAAAAAAAATGTTTGCCTTCAATTTGATGTTTATTAATTGCTGTAATAGCCCCTAAAATATCCAAACATTTGTGCTACACATCTAATCATGAACTAGCTAAATCTAAATAAAAAATCAATGCTCTAAAAACTTGCATAAAGTATTGTGGTTTTCTTCAACTAAAAACGTATAGTATAAAATATAAATTAAATAACTATATGTATTAATATATTATTTTATGACTGCGAATTAAATTAATTCATTATTAATTTACTAAAAAAAAAAAAATTGATTTAATTTACTCTAATTTATTATTAACATATTATACTATATATTTTTTATTTATTTATACAAAAAAAAATCAATGATTTTGAAATACTGCAGTAATATTTTATCAAAATAAATATTGTTTAAAGTACAATTATAAATTTCGTGCTACACCCTTCACTTTTTGTTGTTCATAAAGTGTGTTGTGATGCATATAATTTTAGAGGTTGTGTTGTAGATATGAATAATTTGGAGGAATTTTGTAATAAATATTTGAGTTTTAAAAAAAATTTTCAATAAGAATTAAAAAAAAAAAAAGACAAGATAAAACTGAAAATTACAAATGTCTTTAAACAGCTCAATTAAACTAAATTATTTTAAAAATTATAAAATCTAGAAAAATTCAAAAGTAATATTATTGTAAGTTGGAAAATTCAAGTATTGAAGATTCATATTTTAAATTACAGCAAATTTGGTATAGCATAAAAATTCCTGTTTTCATATATTTTTTTTCAATTTTCCTTATTTAAAAATGTAGATTATTTCTGCTCTCCCTCTCCCACACCATTTAAAGAATTTATAACTTGATTCAAATTGCTTAATTTTGTTTTAATTAAAATAAATGTTTCATTAAAGTAAATAAGTAACAACCTTAATGTATAAAATTAAATTATTATGAAATATTTAAACATTGCAAATAATTTGAGATAAATTAAATGTGTACATTATAATATTCAAACCAGGAAGTTATTTGAATTTTTTTGGATTGTTTTATGCAATATGCGTGTATTACCAAATAATTTTAACACTGGAAAAAAAAAAAAATTACTTATTTTTATAAATTTTTGGTTGAAATGTGAAATAAACTGGCTTTTCTTTTATACTTGATAAATATTTTGTGAAATGTATTTTATACATAAATTTCAATAATTATAATATCATGTATAGATTTTATTAAAATTAAATACAATTTAATTTAAATAAACAAACTTGAGTTAACTTTAAATAAAATTTTTTGAATTTTAATATACCTTATGTAAGTTTAATAATAAATAAACATAATAATATTAATGGTTCTGTACTATTAATATTTTGTGTTTATCATTTTTAATTGAATACAAATATAATTTTTTAGGTCTATAAAGTATGAACATTTTGACTATAATTATAATTCATACTTAAAGATAACTTAACCTTGAATTTTGATTTTGATTTGGAAATTAAAAGAAATATATGAGATGACTCATATTGGCATCTATTCAAATTTATAACCCTTTCATTATACAATTTTATATATGCAATACATGATTTATTATATCAATTCTAAACTATATTTTGAAATATTTAATTTTTTTAATAACCTTTTCATAAATTTGTTTATAAAGAACTATTTTTTTACTACTTTTTATTTTCTATGATAGAAAATGTTTCATGACTGATAATCGAAAATATGTAATGGTTTTGAAGTAAATATAATTAATTTATATTTGAATAAAAAGTGACCTTAAATCTATATTTACTAAAGATAATTTACATTTTAAGTTGAAACATGGTACATAATATGATTAAATTTGAAACCATGTCTCATATGCAAGAGACTATTTGTTTTTTTTGTAGTTATGTTTAATTTACGATTTAGTAATATAAAGAGTAAATGTGTTGATTTGGTTTAATAAGTATGACTATAAAATTTGTCACATATTTAAGGGGAAAATGCTTACTCAAAAATAATACTCGTTTTAGGATTTAATTTCAAGTTCAAAGCAGCAGTTAAATGGATTGTTTTTTATTTTATTAGGTAATATTATATGAATATAATGAAGACACTTTCTAGTGTTCTATAAACCTGCAATAGTTGTGATTTAATGTTTTTCAAAATATTTTTTTGGCTCTAGTATATCATTTGTACTATTCAAAACAAATTAAATGCTATAGATTTTTAACATCCCTCATATTTTTCATCTCATATATGTGAAAAAAATTATTTAAAAAAAAATTAAAATTAAAAATACTTATTTTTTATTACTTTTTAAAAATTAAATAAAATAGTAAAACTTTTTTTTACTTAAAAAAAATGTATTTAACAAATTTTAAATTATTCAGTTTTTATTTTCCTTGATATTTTATTAAAATATAAAACAATTAAAATAATAATGTTATGTATGAATAAATGTGTTATATGTGTATATATATATAGTGGTCCACGTACAAGCAACCATAGATGGTAATGTACAGTAGCTTAAAGTTTAATTAATTAGTCAAAAAATCCTTCTGAGTGTTTTTATTTGAAAATTTCTAAGTCAAAATAAAATCTTAGATTAGCATGAAGGTGCTCACTTCTATTTCTTATAAATTATGTCTGAAAAAGATTTATCTCAGGTTCCCCTTTATAGATCTTTTCTCCATTTTTGTTGGTTGTATCCCTTTTGGTCAAATAAATTGTATCGTCATGTTTCCATGGTTTACACATCTTTGAATTCTAATGTACATGAATTGACCCTACTATCTTATGATGTACATTTCACTCCTAAATTCTTTAGATTATAATTGTGCACAATCTGCATTTATCTGGTTAAAACTATTGTGTAGTTATGTGCACCTATGAACCACATTATTTCTATATAAAATGTATTTTATACTTTATTAAAATAGAAGTCATTACATGTACAATTCTGTGATATATTGATGAGTATAGGACAACGTTTCTTAAACTGTGGGTCGCGAGAAATTTTTTAATTATACAGATTGTAAGAAATTTATGTTTTTATAAATTGTATAGACTATAGAACTATAATAATAGTATAAAGTAACATAAGAATTATTACAATTATTATCATTATAAAGTAGTAAATAAGTAATAAAACAATTTGTTTTTTGAAATTACTTTTTTGATTCTGTAAATGTAAAACTATGGGGGTCGCGATAGATTTTTGGAAAAAAATTTGGGTCGCAGTCCTAAAAAGATTGAGGATCACTGGTATAGGACATATTAGGTCTATCTATAATTAAATATATTTTTGTCTCATTTTTTATTAAGTATTTAAATATTTAAGTCTACATTACAGTATCTGTGTTACATTATAATATATAAGAGCACATATTATATAATTAAAAATTATTATTCATGTACTTTCTTTCATATAATACTATATACAATTACATATGCATTATCCTTACTAAAATATTTATTGCATAGTAGTTTTGAATGTTTGAATGAATATTGTTGTTTAATGTAGCATATTTTCACAAAATAGAATTTATAATCAACAAATACATTTAAACAATCTTGTTAAATGAATTAAGATTATAAAGTCTAAAAATGTATATAGTATTGATATATTAATGATTCTTACACATTGTTATTGATTATATACATTTAGGTATAGATTCTATTATTTCTTTGATTGAGCTTAAATGAAAGAATGCCTTACTGCTGGCTTTAGACAAATTATTTTATAGTATCAGGATTTAAAATCTTCTATATTAGCTTATTGAAATTAGGATTTGAACTTACAGCATTTATAATTGTCAAAATAAGCGCTTGAATACTACATTATAAGTACTCAAATGAACATTTAAAAATATTAAAATAAGAAAATAAAAGTTCAACAAAAACAATAATCACAATTGTTTTTGTGACATTGTTGAATTTTTAACATGAAAACATAAAAAAAAATGTCATTTTTAAAAACTTAAATTTATTTGCTCTCTTCAGTATTTCTAAAGATATCAATTTATGTTATACTTTTTATGAATTTTCTAAAAAATAAATTTTAACTTAAAAAAAACTGAAGAAAAATTAATTAATTAAAAAAAAAGATTTATTTTAAAATATTTCTTATCTTTTTAATTGTATTCAATAATTAAATATTTTCTTAAGTTAAATAGAATAAGTATTTTTAATCCTAATTTTACTATAAATACATAAAACCAAAATCAACAATTAACAATTCTAGATTTTTGTCAGTATGGCCCATATCATAATTAAGCAGAAGTATGCAAAAAAATCAAATTTAATATTATCAGAAAAATTATATAAAAAAAAAAGCAATTTGTCTGAAAAACTATTGAATTAAGCAAAAAAGAGCACTTTTAAATGTTTATTTTGAATCATTGTAACATGACATGTGTTTCCCTAGTACTTTACTAGATTTTATGTTAAGGCAAAAAAATAAACAAACGCTTAAAGCAGTGTTTCTCAAACTATGGGGTCGCGACTCACTGGTGGGTTGCAAAAATTTAATTATGTTTGTCATCTAATGTTTAGAAATATTTAAAACTTATGGCTCATTACCTAAGATTATGTGATAAAATAAATGTTCATTGTACATGTTTTTCTTTATTGTGAAATTCATAATATTTAAAACTTGATTCTCAATTCTAGATTTTCCCAACTTTCAGGGAGCACGTTAAATAATGCACACACTATTGGCCCCTGTCAATAGCAACTTTTCTTTCCGATTTATTGAAATCTGAAACAATAAAAACATGCAGTAATTTTAATTTTAATAGGTAAAAGTTAATAAAAACTAAAAGTAAAATCTAATGTATAACACCATGTATTGGAATTTAATAAAATATGTTATCCGTTTTTCAACTGTAATTTTTTTTAGTAAATATTTATATACTTAAATAAATTAAAATTAAAAAAATTAATTAATTTTAAATTTATTAATTCACAATATTTAACTATTGACAACTTTATATTTTAAATAACAAGTTAAAAAATTATAATCTTAATTTTCAGATGTTTGAGTTTAAACGTTTAGTTCAAATGTTACTACATATTGTATCCACTAGTGACCATGAAGGGTTTGTACAGAGAATCGGTATTTATTTACTAAACTCAGTTGCATGTCAAGTGAACAACAAGCAAAAAAATGAACTTGGAGATGCTGGTGCAATTAAGGTAATTAAAAATAAATTAATAATATGTTGATAATTTAAAGCCTTTTTTTATAGAAAATGATGGCAATAATCAAAGATAGACTTCATCGAAGAGTTTGCGATGATGTTCTTGAAGTTGCTTGGTCAACAATGTGGAATGTAACAGATGAAGCACCAAAGAATTGTAAAAGGTTTCTAGATGGAAATGGAATGAAATACTTCCTTGGATGTTTGACTGTAAGTATCATAATTATTATAAGAATAACCTACTGTAATTTTTTTATTAAATGTTATTTGCTTATAGACTTTCCCAGATAAAAATGAACTGATGCGAAACATGATGGGTTTACTGGGTAATGTTGCCGAAGTGAGTGAGTTACGATCTAGACTTATGCAAGGACATTTTATCAAAGTGTTTTCTGACCTTTTATTTTCAACACAAGACGGAATTGAGGTAACCGTACAATTAATTTTTTATACATAACAAAAAGCTTAAACTTCTTTTTCATACAGGTTAGTTATAATGCTGCGGGAGTAATTGCACATTTAGCATCAGATGGTCAAAAATCATGGGTTATAAAAACACCATCAAGATATAAAGTATTAGATCGTATGACTAAAGCCATACAAAATTGGAACTTGGATGCTGATCGAAATATTAACTATCGTTCCTTTGAGCCAATATTACAGCTTGCACAAGTTAGGCACACACCTCAGTGTGCTCATTGGGCAGCATGGGCTCTAGCAAACCTCACTAAAGTATACCGTAAGTAATAAGTATATTATAGTTTTATTACATTTTTTAAATATTAAAAAAAAAAAAAACAGTTATATTATAATATTATTGTTGATGTTTGTTAATTTAATGAAAATGGTTTAACTGTTTGTTTTTTTTTTTTTTCAATTGTTTTATATAGTTTTCCATCATTTTTAAATTACATATTACAATGTATTATGATGTGTAATAAATTAATAATTATAATAATTTTTGTTTCTTAGCTGAAAAATACTGTTCAATTGTGATAGCTGAAGGTGGTTTGAGAATCATGAGTGAACTACTTGAAGAAAATAGTCTACTTCAAGATAATCAGCCCCCCGGGGTTATACATAGTCTAGCTCAAACAGTCATTAACCAATGTCTGATGTATATGAAAAACACTGTAGAAGAATCATCTCCGTGAAAAATTTGTGAGATTATTATTTTTCTTTTCTGTGTACCGCCCAGTACCTATAAATTCTACCAAAATTGAATGTTTAATTTATACATTTAAACCTTAATATTTTTGAGAGATGTAATTTTAACTTTATTGTATTATTTCTCATGATAAAATGTTTAGAGTATACAATTAATTTAATTGATATTTCAATAAACAAAAAAAAAAAAAAAATAGAGCCAAAAACTAACTAAATTGGTAAAATTTAATTTTTTTTTAGTACTTACATTATTATTATTATTATTTAGAAATGGTAATAATAATATTAATATGTGTGAATGATGTTTAAAATAGATACTATGTTGAATGTTAAATGTTTATACATGTATATAATATATATCTATGTGTTATATTTATATACATATATACTATATAGATTATCATAACTATTAAGACGCACTGTCCTTTATATATTATACATCATATAATCTAACCAATCTTTGAAAATTGTTTTTATTATTATTATTATTATTATTATTATTATTACTTCTGTGTATTTAATTATTTTGTTTTTATATTATTTAAATGATTGTGATCACTACTAAAATATCATAATTTAATTGCATTTTATAATAAAAAGTTAACACGCTATACCATTGTAATATTTTCCAAAACGAATTTATACTTATAAAGTTATTAAAATTTAACTGAAAACTAGTTTCAATTTGTATTAACTTAAACAGCATTATGAATATGTTGGGTGCATTATCGTGTTTGTCTTTATACGTTCCTGTCTTCTACATGTTATGTATATATATATTATAATAACATCTATTAAAACCTTAAAAATCATATAACTATTGGCTATTGAAATTATTTATTCAACTCTAAAAATATTGATAAGAATAAAAATTTTTGACTTAGGACAAACACGGTATGGCGGCTCGCTATATCTATATATTCTTTCTTTGATTAAATTTAAAACATAATTGAATTAAATAGAATGTAAAAAAACACAAAATTGTAGCATTTTATTTTTGATTCATTATTATTTTAGATATTTTAATGTGGATGTAAAATTATGGATTACAAGTATCTCATTAGTAAAAAAAATATATATCTCAAAATTCGTTTTGGAATATAAAGAATTATTAATAGATGTTTTGCCAGATCATTTTGCATTTATAGTACAAAATTTAAATATAATCTATTTCTATTCTTTTAAATATTGTTTTTAAATGGCCGAGTTTCAGCTTACTAAAAATATTCCAATTATCATATTTTACTTTTGTTATATATATTATTATTAATTATTTATTCACGTGTAAAATAATTATTGAAGGATGTATTCATTAAGTATACATAAAATTATGTGTGGAAATTTTAAAATACGTTTAGCCTGGTTTCTGATCATACAAATTCACATCATATACCACTACTCTACATTCTAGTTATTTGGTAATCAATTTATTTTGTCTCTTATTATAAATGATTTTAAGTCTATATAGCTAATAAAATTTTTAACGAAATTGTTACATTCCAACTCTGGTTCATAATTATTTTTTGTGTTTCACCTTTAATGTATTTTGTGTCTGAAAATTCTTATTGGTATTTTTTTTTTTATATAGGTACTCCACTTAGACTGCTTAAATTATGAAAATGTAATACATAACTAGTAGTTATGTTTTTTTTAAGTTTGTTTTGTTTTTACTCTAAATGTCTTGTTGATTTGGTTCAAGCTTGATGCTTATATTGTAATATGCATTAATGGGTTTACTAGCCATTGACTGCCACTTAAATAAAAATTGTTTGTGACAGTTGTGTTTAAAAATGTTGTATAATACATCATGTATGCATTTCAAAATTAAATAATTGTTTTAAATTGAGATGTATAACTATATTTAAGAGGTCTCAATAATTACATTTGGATGTTGGTATCAGTATTGTATAATTTGACTATAAAGTAAATTATTTGAATCAATTGAAATCAATTGTTGTTTGAAGGTTGATATGTATTAAAATATTTGAACATCTGAGGTACCAGACAGAAATGTTACTATTATAATTAAAATTTAATGTTAAAATATCATAAATAAACTTCTGACTAGTCATTATGAATTTTTTAGATATCTATATTACTTTATTATTTTTGCTTACCAATTAAAAATAAATTGCAACTTATGTCTAAATTATATGTAAATATTTTATTTATTATTTATGATATATTATTAACATCTTCTAATTTAAGAAGATAGGTAGGTTTACTTTAGATTATCCATGCACAAGGAAAAATTATTAAGCAGTAAGTATTAATTTAATCACTCTTCTGTTCAATATGTTCCTTTTCTTTTTTTTAAATCTGTAAGATTGCACTATTTTATATTTATAAATACAAAATATATCTATACATACTCCATTATTTCAGTTTAACAAGAATTAAAGCTGTGTTTGTTAGTTGTTAAGAACTTAAAACTATAGACTAATATGATTTAAAATGTTTAAAAATGTATTTGGTCAATTATCATTATTTTTAAAATCAATAAATTCTGCAGAAACATTAAAAAAATAAATAGTATTTGTACAAATAAATTACTACTCATCTTTAAATTATTATTTATAATGTATACTTATAATTCTTACAATAACTGTATTCTTAAATTATATTATATATTATAATTTTTTAAATACTTAGATACCTATCTAATAATCAATATTACTAATATTATTAACATAATAGTAAATACCTATAATATACTTAGTTGTTTTGTACAAAAACATGTGACTGAATGTTTGCTAAAATAAGTACCACAGGCAACAACATTTACACTAAAATTTATAAGTATCTCATCATATACTTTTGTACTGCTTTTAACTACTTTAGGAAAGTACCCACTTATTTATGGTTTTAGCAGAGTTTATAAACATTGTATCTTATAAAAATTATTTTATTTTATTATGTCCGATATAATGGTACCTACATATTATATTATTATAGTATTTACTTTAGATTGTACAATTATTAGTCTCAATTTGTTCAGTTTAAACATAAAACTAAAATAGATTTTGTTTGATTATTGGTTACCTATTACTACCTAATTGAATTTATTATTACAGTGTAAAAAATATATAATATGAATGTAAAGCCTATAAAATAGTGATTTGTCTCGAAATAAATAATATGTACTTACGTCACACATATAATTTAAGTAAAAAAAATCGAAATATTTAGTTTTCTTAAATAGGTACTATAGGAAGTAGGTACCTAAGGTACCTACACAATTAAATCATTTGGCACATTCCAGATCATAGTTCAGTAAGTTTGTGCAATAGTTAAAGCCAATCATAAAAGTTAAAAACAATATCTATCTTTATTTCCGGTTTCGTCTAAAGTCCATAAACAATAATACCTATTTTACATAATTATAATTTTTTTATCTTTTATAAAAATAATTAACTGAACATTAAAATAAATTACTATAAAAACATATTTTTGAATATTATAAAATATGTTGGTTACTATTTATCTGGTTATCTTATTTATTAGAAAGTTTTATTCGTTATCGTTGTCCCTCCCTCTCCGGATTCTAAACTAGCCCACTTTAACAATAATTTTATGTACTAATTTAAATACTTTATGTATTTTTCCCGGTCTAATTTAAGGTTATATTATTATACTTATAGAATATTATTAAGGAACTGAAGTCACCACCCTCTCTGAAGATTCTGTTTATTTTCGCCAATGCAATGATTAGACAACTGGAAGGTCGTAAAAATAGATAGTACCTAGGTACTTATTCAAGGAAAAAATGTTTAGTAGAAGTATCAAGTCAGAAGGTTGAAGACTACTTTTAAACATAGAAATTGTAGTATGTATATATTGTTTCATCTAGTAATTGTTATGTCTCATTAAAAATAATTCATAGCATTGATATTTTGGTGCTTTTATATAAGTGTGACAAAAATCTATTGAAAAATAGAGGAATTTATAGCAATCATTGTATCAGTTCTTGAATACTTGAAACGTTCACTGTAGCTATCTATTAAGTCTTACATTTAAGACTGATCTGAAATATTTTTTAAATAAATTCTATAATTTTAAAGCTAAATATATACACATATGCCTACATATTTTTAGATTAATTAATAACTATCAAAAGATTTTCCGAAAATTCGTTTACAGATACAACTAGTGTCTGATAATTTTGGTCGTTGGATAAAAGATCAATTTAGAGATATAAATATCACTAATATATTACTATACTTTTATAAGGTAAATAAATTCAATTATTTGTTAGAAAGTTAAAAAAAATATTCAATTTAATAAATCATTTTCACGCTACCTTCATTAAAAAAAAACAGTGTGTTATAACCAAATTTTTTTTTAGAAAACTTTATATGCCCGAATAGATTATACCTACTGAATTAAATTTTAATTTTAATATTTAAAACGGTTAATTATTATACGAAGCTATAATTAAGGTGGCGATGGTTGGCATGTTCCTTGTAGACAAATCGCGCAATTGATAAACAAGATTATTTTCCAAAATGTAGGCTACTTTGGTTATTTAATTTTTAATAAAACTAGGACACCTATTATATATTTTTTTTCAGGATGTAGAATGCTGAAATTTGAAACTAAAAATGATTTTTGAAACATATGATTTTTTTTATGAAATGTAGATATAGGTATAACGTGTGTATCCAAATCTACACTACATAAGGTACCTACTTCATAACCTATTAGCCAACATGGGTAAATCTAGTTTCTCTCTTAGATAAAGTAATTATACTTGTTTATTATACTAGGTTTTTAAAAATTAATGTCGTCAAAGGCCAAAGTGACAAAGTGACGCAGTCTCGCGTAATAACTAACGAATAACGATCAACCATTTCGTTACTATAAGGACGTTATTTTTATATTCCGCTGCTTCACAACTAAGTCTCACTATGTTTCCTTTCACTCCAAGTTAATCCAACACAATAATCCATTAATAAAATGCCTATCTTCTCTTACAATCAAGGGTGGATTTAACAATTTGCCGCCCTTATGCCAAAAAAAAAAAATTACTGCTCTTATTTAAAAAAAAAATTACCTTTGTACAACAAAATTTCCTTACATGATAATATTTTCTATGTATTATGCAATTATTTTTTTCATTTAACTAAAGTTCAATAAAAACGTTTTGATTCGAATATAGTATTTTCTCTTTATTCTTATTATATAAGAAAAAAATAATAAATTTATTAAATAATTATTTGGTTATATAAAAGTAGTTTTAATGTTAATTATTTATTTTTAAATTGAAAAATTTAAGAAAAAAATTAAGTGTTTTTCTATAGATAGATACAAGAATAAAATTAATATTAAATACAATTTTACTGCGTATAAAAAGTCGCCCTCCATAAATTTGCCGCTCTATGCGGCTGCATAGTTCGCAGTGCCTTAAATTCGCCCCTGCTTACAATCCTCGATAACCTCCAGAGACGTCTTAAATACTCCTGGCCTAGAGATCTCCAAATTTAATCTGTCGGGTGGCACTACTGAGTGCCCTCTCCTATCATTATATTTTCGATAAAAAAAAAAAAAAAAGGATATTGTACACTCCACATTATACTGGAACAATAAAGAAAAAATTATCAATTTTAATTGATGTAAAACCAAAACAGAATATTTCGATTATAAATTATATTATTACCTACATTATTATAAATTCATAAACACATGGCGTGTAAATGCATGTAACACATAGTATAATATAATAAAATGAATATTATGAATTATGACGTATATTATACTATTTCAGGGCAGCAGCGTTGGTATTTAGTGGATGTATAATAATATGATATTGATTAATTATTTACAATATATAATACACGGAATGCGTGTATTATTATATTGTTATAGGTAGATCGTAGATATTATTACAGAAATATTATTATATGCACCTTTACATGACATGACGTATACCTACCTATATTGTTTGTGTGTTTGACGTTTGCATTTCGAAAACTTGGCCGTCTCCCGGCGGATTGCGAACACAATATTTTATACGTTTAGAATTATTATAATAAAATACGATTCACCACCGTCACTGATATCATGTTGTGAGATGTATTTTAGCTAATATAATATACTCTAACACGTCGTCCGTCAACTACACTGTGCGACGTCAATGATGTCATCATTATTATAATATAGTAATAAATCGTATAATAAATCGCTAATCGAGAACGAGAGTACACATAAGTAGGATAAAACGGAGACGGTGCCGGAGAGAGAAAGATAGATAGAGCGAGAGAGACACGCAGAGAAACGATTTGAATATAACAATAATATAATGTATTATTATATCAAATAATAAGTCGCTCGTAGCTGTACATTGAACGCACGCACACACAAATTCGTGTATAGGGTGTACTCGGAGGATTTTCGACAATTACGTACGCCGGAATCATGCCATAAATTACAGGACACACTCTGTATGCACACGTACGTTGTGTACTGTTAAATACGCACACACACAATGTAATATGTGCGGTATAAAGACGTATTTAATATTATATGTAGTATATACGTATAGGTACTTATCGCGAGCGTGTGCGCGCGCTCATATTGTAATTCGTGTTTATTGTTATTCCCGTCGGTCGGTCGGTCGGTCGGTCCATTTAAAAGTGTATTCTTGACGTGTGTCCCCTTTGCCGATCCGCGCGGGTCAGTTTGATAGCATTTGCCGCTCGCACGCCACGCATTTCACGCCACGACACGCACCCGGAACGGATTCGAGACGATATTCAATCAGCCACCACAGCACTGTAGTATAATATTGTGTTGAATTCACACAACATCATATTGTTAAACGATCGACACGTTTCGGCCGTCGGTCGCGGTTACCGGACACCTTTACTGTATAAAAAGGTGCAATAAATATATTAACATAAATATATTAAATAACTGTCCCGCGCGATTGATTTTCATTGCACGGTTCTTTTTTCGTCTTCTCGGAGAGGTGAGACTCGGCTCGTCTTCGGCGGGTGATTGGCATTTTCGTTTTTTTTTTTTTCCCAATACATATTTTTTTTGTTTTCACAATCCGCCACGCACCGTTCGCGGGGCCCGTCGTACGATTTAATATTATAATATCACATATTTACGATTTACGTTCAGTATTTGTGTAATAGTGCGCTTACCGAAAGTCGAAAAGTCGATCCACCCCATCGTCTTCCAATCGCTGCAGTGGACCGCGGACGAGGGCTGAACGCCGCCGCCGTCTCTTGGACGTAACGTGGTCGTCGTCGGATGATGTTAAGTAAGCACACTCGAATCATTTTACCGCTGTTATGCGCATAATATCATAGCTACATCATAATATTTTCAATGGCGCTTTGAACGAGAAATCGGTGACGGGGGAACAAATGCAAAAAAGTCCCTTTTCGCGGAGAACGCGTGTGCGTGACAGAACTCCTTACAGTACGTACTTATATGTATATTGTGTCGGACGAACGGACGCGGCAAAAATGTGCCCAAGGCCGCGGCGCGTCGTTTCCGTCGACTGGTTGGTTACCGTTAGCCGCTTTTGTTCGCGCGGGTTTGCAAAGACGCATGAAATAAAATATTATGCTCCCGTCGAGGAATTTGTACCTCCGCCGCCAGTGTAAAGTTTTCCCCTCGTATAACACAATATTGAAATATTTATTGTCCCGCGTGTTTACGTTAATTAAATCATAGTCGTCGGAATCGATAAATATCAAACAACGCTATAAACATTATGTTGCCTACACGAATAAAACCACACAGGACGCGCGCGACTATATTATGATATATTATATGGTAAATGTCATAAACTTCACCGGGTTAGTTGGATGTAATATGTAACATTTGAATATTATACAAAATAAATGCGCGAAACGCAAATCGACGAAAACTTTTTGCGATGAGAATTGCGGCATTTTTATCCTCATACATTGGTTTTTATCTCTTTGCACTCACTAAAAAGTTCGTAAGACTACTGATTTTTAAAGTAAAACGTCGATAATGGATATATACTGATTTGTGTTCATTTCAAAGAACTTAGTTGAAGTTTAGGTTAGCTTTCACCCACTGAAGTAAACCGATTTTTTCGAACGTACCTGTGTACGACTATTACGCATATTATTAATTGTACAATTACACAGTTAAAAGTGTTAAAACACTTATAAGTGTTATAACAATTATTAGGTTAATGAATACTTTTATTATTATTATTTTCTAAAACTACAACATTACACCTTTAATTATAAACTTAATATTTTGTGACTTCTCACTTTACAGGGATCTTTAAAAAAAAAATAAAAGAAGAATATGTTTTATCTGTATGTGCATATATATTTTTGTAGGAACATATTGTGACTATTGTCTATTCTTTATATTAACCTAAAATGTGCATACGTTAAATCAAAATATCCAATTTATAAAATCCAAAATATACATTACACTACTGTAGAATTTTAGATTTTGTCCTATTATAATAATAATAGTATTCATTTAATCAAAGCGTTTAATTTTCGGAATGAACTCAAAGAGTAAATGAATATATTAGGTATCAATTTTTTTTCATGCGTAATGACAAGTAATTTTATATTTGATAATATTCACTTTCTATTATTTAGTTGTTTATTTGTAAACAACTATACCAAACGTTGCCGATATAGATAGATATTACATTTTTATGTTAAATAATTTTAAAACCAATAAGATATGTCTAAAATTATCAAACTTTAACGAAGTTTTTCATCGCATTAGTGCAATGTACAATAATGTCTAATGTTTAATTGTGTTTTATCTAGAGAACATAACAATGACTAAATAATTGTAATATTCTGTGACTTCGATTTTTAACATACGTAATATATTCTGTATAAATTAACTATACTTCTATATTAAGTGGGTAGTCTTTAAAAAAAAGCCATGGGAAAATAATAGACTTCAACAAATAATCACATATTAAGTTAGGTATAGAAAAATATTATTCGTTTATGGGAGCTATGATGGTGATAACAAAAAAATCATGTTTTTTGTATATTAGAACTGTAAAAAAATTTAAATTAAACAATAATGTTATAAAAAAATTTTCCCAAACACTATTAAATTATCAAGAATTCCATAATATTTTAAGAAAAGTGTCTCTCATAAAAAACGTTAGTAAATGTTTGTAAATAAAAAGAAAAAAGTTATCTTTCTCTAAACGTTTTATTTATTTTAATATATTTTGTTTTAATAACAATCATATTCTATGTAATATTATAGCTAAATAGAATGGAAATATTTGTTATCAAAAAAGTTTGAATAGAAATTAAAAAAAAAAAAAATTGTTATGTTCTACTTATTAGTTATTATTCACTTCTTAATATAAATTAAATTAATTATAATATACCATACATAATATCTTAATTAATTAGAACAAAACAATTTATTTTATTTTTTTTATTAAAATATAATTTTTATTAGAATATTATTATTTTACCATGTGTAATAAGAAACGGATCAATTATTACCGTGGGTTTTTACTAATTATTGTATCTGAAAGTTGAAACTAAAATTATGAGAGAAATAAATGTATAATTTACATGTTTTATTAAAAGTAAAAAAAAAAACAGCTATTATAAATACACGACTCTACCATTAATAAAATATGTGAAAATATGAGTCGTTATTTAAAACATAAAAATACCCAAATTTGGAAAAGTAAATAATTTGGTGTCAATACACAATACATTTTTTTCCTGTCATATTATTTAGCCATAGTCTATCATAATGTTAGTCTTTTACATTAGCACAAACATTAATTAATTAATTTTTAACTAATTATTTATTTGGTTTACAGACATGCGTGTTACTGATTTGTCATATGTCATAAAACCATTTGCACTTGGTATTTTTATCACCATAACTCGTTTGAAACCCTTACATAATTATTTAATATGTACCACTATTTGAGGGTATATTTAAATCTTTAAATTTTTATTCGTATTATACAATAGACAAAATATATAACCATCATACAATCATTGTACTAACCTAACCATGCTTTAAATTCTACTGTGTCTGTATTTAAGTTTTAAAATTCAGTTTTTTATACAATATTATTAGTAAGTATAGTCGGCCATGAAGACAGCCAATTTTTCGAATAAAATGTTACGTACACGATACATGCTATTAAAATAATCAATATCCTTCTTTTAGTGGTTATAACTTTAAACCAACGTGTTTTTTTAATAAAATAGTTTGCGCGATTAAGCATATCTTCCCCACTATTGAAGTGTGTACGTTTGGCACTGTGACGTGTACCTAAAACATAATATTATATTACATTACAGTGATATTTGTTGATTTTAAAAACCGTCGATAAGTATAATCTTATCCTCGTCTCACTGCAATTTGGCTAGTTAAAGTATTATGGCTATTATAGTTTATAATTATTATTAATCTAACAATAATCATACAGCAATTATTTTTTTTATCGATTTCACAAACATTACCTATGTATTAGGTATTCTAATTTCTTAATTTTTAAATAATTATTTAAGGAAAATTTAATCACGATTATGCGGGTTAACGACAGAAAAAAAAGTTAGAAATGAAAATCTAACGCGTCCGAGTCTAATGTGGAGAGAACACAAATATTCTTAGAAATCGATATAGGTAGGTGTCGTGTAAAAATGTAATGCAAATTACTAGGTGTATAATCTGACCTAGAATTGCGTTTGAAGCATGGTTTATCAACAATAATATTTTTTTTAAACAATTATTTAACAATAATATTATTATTACTATTACTGAGTATCCACGCTACTACGCCGATAAATAAGGGATGCCTGTCGTGGAGTTAATTATTATTTTTTTCGTTTAACATTTAAAAGAATCATATCATACTATATGAAATAGCCATTATAGACCAACTATTTTTAACTAAAAAAGTTATGCGTATTATTAGATCTCATTATTTTAATTATGATAATAGTTATCGAATAATATATGTATACGATTTTATCATTTTAATTAATATCGTTTATTCTTCAAATGTATACATTATAATGAACAATAAAATATTACATTTTAGTAAATCATTAAATAAACATTTATAAAAATATGAGATTTTAAATCTTACTATATTTATACTTACTACTGTATACCATACTTACAGAATTCTTGGATTGACGTTTAAATGTACTTTATTTTAAGTATTAATTGTGCACACATTGAATTTCATTGATTAAGGATAATTAATTGAGTGTTAAGGTCCCTAGTTCCCTTTAAATTGCAGCAGTGGTAGTAGTGTTGAAATATGGCCAGACTGCACAGTTTAAGACTATCGAAGACTATTAATATATAAAATTGGAATGAGTTTATTTTATATTTTATTTTACAATTATTGTATTTGTTTTGATCAACTCGTTTTGACTAATTTAAAATGTTATAGTCTATACATTTCTTCTACCAACTTATGTTATTGTGTTTATTGTTTTTAATCGACGAAAAAAATAATTACTAACTTGACTAGAAAAAAATCTCAAATTATAATTTTTATGTATACTAAGTCCACTTATGACTTTACGAGATATACGACGATTCGTACTCTGTGGATTCCGACACACTTCTCTTTCTGACTGTTAATAGGTAAAAAAATATTCGGTCAGGTGCCGCAGATGGTCTTCATATTATTAATATATCGAATATTCTACGAGTAATTTTCCGATTGAATTAAATGAATGACGTTGTAATGTAAATAATAATAAAGTATTAAAATTTAGAATATTTTATATTTTTGTTATCTATATTTAATGGCTCGTGGATAAGAGAACATAGCGAAGAACAACGTTGTACAGCTCTTTCGCTGCGCGTTCCACGAATTGTAAACATTTAAATGTTCATTTTATTAAAATGATATTATACTAACGTCCTTTACACTAAACATCAGTTCTTAATATTCATGATGCTGAGTATATTGGGAATTTTGAGTTGATTTAAAGACGTATAATATAATATAAAATTTGTATTCGATTGAAAATAACAATTTTATTAATTGAAAAGCAATTGTAGTGTATTTTATTATGCGTATAGAAGTATGACGTGCGTTTAAGGCTATTTTTATGACCGCTACCTATCGCTATTGACTGCTGTTACATAGTGCACATGCAAGGGATGCAATTATTAGTATTTTACCGCCGAATATTTATAAATCTCATACGAGGATATATACCACCGCCTACACCCTCGATTATTACACCCATCATCATCGGGAGCCCGAGCACCTAATTGGTTATGTGAGAC